CATATATATGAAATTTTCACTTGTTGTTTATATTTGCATTTTCTATACACGATAAAATTTTTAATATATTATGATTTGTTTTGAACTGTTTAGGGACATTTTCATTTTCCATTTTTTTTTAGTTTTTATTATAAAAATATCAATTAAATTTTATTTGTTGGTTTCGAAAGCTTGAAAATTTAATAAGATGCTCCTAGTATCTATATTATTTTAAAAGAAGTTGAAAAATATTAAAAATCCTTAGTCACACTTTTTTTTATAAGCATTTGAAGTTAAAAAATTGAAATGGAAAAATCACGAAAATTATCAAATTATTTTGAGTTAAGAATTCGTAAAAATTTTTATTTTTAAATCTAAAATTTTAAAATGTAATACAAGATTCCTTATAAGATTATCTAACTTTATAAAAAAAAAAAAATGCGTATAAGAATATCAAATTAAATTTTTATGTGCGTTTGAAATTCAAATTTTTACAACATTGGATACTCACTCGATTTCTCATGTAGTGATTTCCTTATTTTGTTGTAATTCAAAAACGAATAACTGTAGAAGCATGAAAATTTCACTGAATGTCCATATTAGCATTTCCTATACACTGTACAATTTTGAAAATATTTGGACTCTTTTTGAGCTGTTTACGGACATTTTCAGTTTTAAGTTTTTTTAGTTTTTTTTTTCTATAAATATCAATAAAGTTTATCTGTTGGGCCAAAAAGTGTAAAAACTTAATACAAGGCTCCTAATATATTGTTACAATAGCAATTGAAAAATATTAAAAATACATAGGCACAATTTTTTTTTTTTAAACATTTAAAGATCGAATTTTGACAAAATTTATCAAAATCTCGAAAATTATCAATCATTGTAATTAATAAATTATAAAATGTTCAGTTTTTATAGCTAAGGATTGCAAATTTAAAACATAGGTTGTCATAATAGTTTATACTGTAACCAAAAAAATCTAAAAAATATATGAACACAGTTATTTTTTACAGATATTTTAAATTCAAATTTGGACGAAATTACATATTAAAATCAATATTAACGATCTTGGCTTTTTTTTGTAATTTAAAATATTATTCGGGGATATATGAAACTGAAAAATCAAAATATTATGGCCTATCCATAGTATAAGGAATAAGAAGTATGCTCAATGATAAGACTGTGCATATTTTAATGGGCAATGAATAATTTATTCATAAATTACATATAATTTAATACCATAGATATTAAGTATATAATATGTCTTATATCTACACTGACATACCATCTCCACTCAGAATCGTTTTTCCTATACAATGATATTATATCATTGAATTAAAATTTAATACCATCCATTAAACAGTGACCCACTTGTAACCTACAGTACAGCAGAGCGACATCCACTTACCCACCTTTTTTTATCCTTATATATATATGTATATCTAATACTTAGAAAAATATTCTGCTTTGGAATATGAAGTTAAAACTCTATGCTGTCATTCAAAAAAGTAAAAAACTTAAAAAATAATTATAAGAATCAAAAATATTTAAAAATAAAATTTTTTAATAAAAACGTTGTTTATTTAACAACTTGAAACTATGTAAAAAAATATTTTCAAAAACATCAATACTTTTTGAGATAATGAGTGTTGTACGCATAATGAATCACCCTGTAGATTTGGTGAAATTTTAAAGTATATCAAACAATTAAAATTATTAATTCAATAGTTTACATAGATACCATTATTGTGTACACAGTTTGTGCTAGAGAAGTGTTGAATCCCAGTCACAGAAAAGACGATTTGTACAACTTGCTGAATAACCAGTTCTTTTTTAAAAAAACACAGGATCTATAAACTAAACACTACAAAGATAAAATCGTATAGTGTGCTTAAAATGTTCGTTATTAAATTAATTTTATTGTTAAATCACGGTGCACTAATATGTTGTATAGTCAACGGTCACCATAATAATGTACAGTTTCATCAAATATTATTATTTAAATTTTAATAATATTATCAATCACCCTTCATTCTTAAATAGGCTATTGACATTTGATAATATATTTAGGTACACTCGCTTAAAAATGTATATTATCAGCCACAAACTTGAATGAAAAATATATTAAACGTATATTATATACAATATATTACATTGCATATTAAGTTATCATAATTAATATAATGCTATGTATAGATGTTAGTTTTGTATATTATGCGGTTTTGAACTGATTTTATGCGGTTTATAATATCTTTACAGTATAATACTTGTGCAGAGCGTGTGTTTGTAATTTCATAATCCTATAGAGCCAATGAGTGGGTGTGGGAACAGAACATTTTCGACTATTATATGGTGTTGATTTATCCTACTTATGAGTAACATGTACCTAATTAATTTAAGGAGTGACACAAAATGACAAAGAATATTGTGATATCTATACTATTTAGAGCATTTTGAATTAAATAATTATTACCATTTTTTTAATTCAAATTCAACATCCCACTTCTCCAGAATTTAAATTGTGTAATGATAATTTAGCAACATTTGTATTGGTACATTATAATATTGTATAATACATGTTTTTGAAAATAAAACAATATTTATATTACAGAAACATTTTATATACCATGAATAAACTATGAGTGTATATTTGATTGTACACTTAGACTACTTAGAGCATACGTTAAATCTAAGCAGTTGATTTTATTATACTTAAATTTTTATTTATTTATATTTTACTACAATCCAATCTGGACAAAGACAATAATACAGTAATACGTATTGAAAACAATGTATAATTTTATGACTAAATATAAAATATATTAATACTATAATGATTAATGGCTATGTAAACAATTATGTATATTATGTATTATACACTACTTTATGATTTATAAATTATAAACTGTGTTAATCAACGCACAATGTTGTACCATATCAAAACTAAATTATAATGGCCTAAGATATATTATGTTAGATTTGATAGAACCTACAAAAAAATGGTGTTTTGACTTTTTTTAAATTTTATTAACTTTTTTCGATTGCCCTTCTTTTACAGAACAGCAAACAGTTATTACTTATTATGCAAATACATAAATATAATAAACGTCATATAGGTAATCTGTGGAACTTAACATATATAATTAAAACAATATTGTTGTTACGATTTGTCGATAACATTTAGATAAAAATATATGGTAGGTATTTCTATAAAAAGTTTATCCTGTTTTATCAACGTTTGGTTGATATCCTCAATTTTTTTTCCATATACAGTATAGTAAGTCGTTGGTTACATACCAGGAGGCAGATGCGCATATGTTACAATAGGTGACATGAGTCTTGGACTCACTGACTTGAATGGTGAGGGATGTGACTATTTGAGCGTTTAGTGAACCCCAATACTTGAAGACCGTAAGACCCAATGGCATACAACCAATTAATACAAAATCCTAACCTAACCTATTATAGTACTAAAATCCGATTAATAAAAAAAAACAAATATTCGTATGTTTAGATAAAGAAAAATTAATTAATTTAAAATAAGAAAAAAATCAATGTAAAAACAATGCAATTAATAATAATAATTACTATCAAAACCTATAATAGCAACTATTTAAAAACAAATATTTCCAAAACAAAAACCGGCAAAAATATTGTCTACCGTCACCGTAGTTCGAACTCGAGACCCCTGTTTAAACTTTAAATCCCTTGTTTGAGAGCCTCCCCTTTTATTTACATTTTTTTGCTACAAAATATAGCATATCTCCTTCAACGAGATTTAATCTGTCTCTGTACTAAATTTCAACGCAATCGGGGGAACAGTTTAGGAACACATAAAGAACATAGCAACGGTATTTTGTACAAATGGCGTATAACATGAGACATGAGATTCCATGGACTTGGTATAACTTTGATACTTTAGAGTTAAATCATACACTTCCATACAAACAGCACGGGGTCCGCGATCTACCGCAGGTAAATTGCCCACCTGATAATGTACTGCTGCAATTCAGAATTTTTATTCCGGGCAACGGAAAAGATAAAATAAATTTTGAACACCATACACCGAATATTGAATAACGAATTGAACAAAGTTTGAGTCAATATGAGTTGATACATTTAACGGGCGACGAAGTGCACGGGATCAGCTAGTAATATAATATATACGTGGCTGAAGACTATATTAATACTTAACGGTCTCAGTGAAGATTCGTATATAGTATATATTTTGTGTGAATTGTTCGTTAGGATCGGAATAATAGTATGTATTATTATTATATAGATCGAATTATTATGTATTTTTCATTTTTAATAAAGTCAAAAATATTGATAATTTTAATTGTATTATTAATTTTTCTAATAGCCCTTAAAATATAATTTTACTACTAAATCGTATATAATCACACTCAACAGTATGTTTTTGTAAAATGATTGGTATATCTATCAATGCCCAGTTATTGCAATTCCCTGTTTACTATAACTTATTTTAAATAAATTAAGATTAAACAATAAACAATTAATTTGTGTACTTAGCTCAACTACTGTAAAGCAAAAACTGAAAATATTTCATTAATACTTTTTATCGTCAAGATACAAATAGTTAGTAAGTTATTTGATGTGTTCAACAAACCTATAAGTATTCGGTGGTATTATTCACATTATACTAATATGTAAATACAATATAAATATTGACAAGTTAAATGGTTTATGATTATCTCAAATTATTTTACTCATTAGATGGTCTAATGATCCAGTATTGATCATTGCTTGTATGTATTCGGTCAATATTAATTTTATTAAAACGATTTTTTGTAGATGAGATTTATATTATGGAATATGTATTGATAATTTAATTAATTAATACATTAATGACAAATCATAATGTAATAAAATATATATAAATATACATTTTAAATTTTAAAGTGATAACACTGCTCGTCATGTTATAAACTCTAAATCGTAAAATTATAAAAATAATATACAATAATAATAACATTTAATTTTGGTGGTCATCAGTGATGTTTTGTGGCTGCTACTATCAGTATAGACTAATGGAACTCAAAGCAGCTAGCACGTCCTGTTTGAAGTCATCGCACAAACACCGATCCCGGACCCCGGCAACAGATACCAGACAAAAGTTACCGAATTCGGTGCTCGAGTGTACTGGTCCAGTCTTGCCTTTGACCACCACGGACATGTTCAGCTGCTATGCAGAAACAGCTGGAATACTTCGGGAGCTGACGTCGTTTGACTGATATGCAACTTCAGACTGGTTGGGTGTGACAGACCTGTGTCGTACGCAGCGCAAACCTGTGTGACAACAACCGTGGTTATTGTAAAACCATCAGATATTTGTGTATAAGGTACCATGCCGTTTACGAAAATCACTTACCTCGATAATCCCAGGTGCAAGGACGGGCACCAGCGATTCGCTCTTCATAGTAGGGTCCCAAAACCCTTCATCGTCCACTTTATTTACGTCCTTAGCTCTATGTGAAAACGAATTAAATGTACCGTGTCAACATGATATTGTTAAGGTTGAGTCTATTGATGTTACTACAAGGCATTCGCTTTATTATTATTGCACTATCGATAAACTTACACGATGACGTATTTTTAACTTGTTTAAGATGACGTCACACCCGCATGTGTTGTCTTACATAAGTACGATATAGCAAATTTTCGTTCACCAGATTCAGTAGTTTACTGTTAATTTTGATATAAGATTAAAATTGACCTATAATAAAAAATAAAGATAAGACTATTATTTAGCCCCACGTAGGCTTGTATTGAAATTATTAGTTTTACGTAAGTTATGACATTTTTGAGACTGTACATTTTAACTTATTACTCTGCTTTGCAGTAGGTTACAAGTTGGTGACTGTAATGGGTGGTGTTAAATTTGAATTCAATGATATACCATTCGATACCTACAAATAATGATTCTGAGGGGAGAAATTTCTTTCCTTCTAGCATATTAAATTGAATAATCATATTTAATAAAATTCGCACCTCTAGAATAAGAACGCCATAACTCAAACTGTATAGTTTTGAGAAAAAATGATTTGAAGTTTGAATCTAAGATATTTTTAAAGAGTTTTTTACTTATGCATTTAAAAACTTAAGTACTTAAAAACATACTTCACGTCATGACTTTTTCAAATATTATGAAACACACTTTTAACTTTTAAGCCTAAAAAGTAAAAAGGTGGGCAAGTGGGTGTCGCTCTGCTGTACAGTAGGTTACAAGTGGGTCACTGTATAATGGATGGTATTAAATTTGAATTCAATGATATAATATCATTGTATAAGAAAAACGATTCTGAGCGGTGACGGTATGTCAGTGTATGTATAAGACATATTATATACTTATCTATGGTATTAAAAAAATTGACCTATAATGAATTCCAAATTAATCATATCACAATATCCATTAGGTACTTATAACGCGTTATACATCAACAAAAACCGTGATACTATCATAGATATATAATAGTACACTTTAGAAGTTTCAAGTACCCACGAATAATATTATTCAATCACAACAAAATAACTAAAATAGTTATTCTAGGTTTTTTAATATGTAATTTCGTCCAAATTTGAATTTAAAATGTCTGTAAAAAATAACTGTGTTCATATATTTTTTAGATTTTTTGGTTATAGTATGAACTATTTATGAGAACCTTTGTGTTGAATTTGTAATCCTTAGCTATAAAAACTGAACATTTTATAATTTATTAATTACAATGATTGATAATTTTTGAGATTTTGATGAATTTTGTCAAAATTTGATCTTTAAATGCTTATAAAAAAAAACTGTGCCTATGTATTTTTAATATTTTTCAACTGCTATTGTAACAATATATCAGGAGCCTTGTATTAAATTTTTACACTTTTTGGCCCAACAGATAAAACTTTATTGATATTTGTAGAAAAAAAAACTAAAAAAAATTGAAAGCTGTAAATGTCCATAAACAGCTCAAAAAGAGTCAAAATATTTTCAAAATTGTATGGTGTATAGAAAATGCTAATTTAAACATTCAGTGAAATTTTCATGTATCTACAGTTGTTCGTTTTTGAATTGCAACAAAATAAGGAAATCGCTACATGAGTAATCGAGTGAAAATCCAATGTTGTAAAATTTTGAATTTCAAACGCTCATAAAAATTTAATTTGACTGTCCGGTAAAGATTTTTTTATTGATAAAGGTAGATAATCTTATAAGGAATCTTGTGTTTCATTTTCAAATCTTAGATTTAAAAAAAAAAATTTTTACGAATTCTTAACTCAAAATAATTTGCTAATTTTTGTTATTTTTCCATATTTTGTCAATTTTTGAACTTTAAATGCTTATAAAAAAAAATTGTGACTAAGGATTTTTAATATTTTTCATCTGCCTTTGAAACAACATATTAGGAGCCTTATATTAAATTTTCAAGCTTTCGCAACCAACAAATAAAATTTTATTGATATTTTTAGAAAAAAAACTAAAAAAAAAATGGAAAATGAAAATGTCCCTAAACAGTTCAAAATAAATCAAAATATTTTGAAAATTTTATCGTGTATAGAAAATGCAAATATAAACAACCAGTGAAAATTTCATGTATCTACGGTCATTTGTTTTAAAGTTACACCATAAACCAAATTCGATTTTGTCAAAAACTGATTTTGCGTAAAAATTCCCGTTTTTCCTTAATTTTTATGTTGTTTTTCCCGGCGCTTGTGAAAACTATTGGGAATTTTAAATTTTGACCTCCCCAATGCACCAACGATATTCACTTTCCAATCGAACAAGATACTGAAGTCGAAAATCGAAGCATTATTTCGACTACTTATCGTGTACACAGACACAAAAAAAAAAAAATAAAAAAATAAAAAAAAAACACACATCATTGTAAAATCAATACATTCATCGTTTCACTCAGAATCTAAAAGTTAGACTTATGGCCTTTTACAATTTTTTAAGTAAATGCTAGAATGCCAAATATTTCGATATGTGGCTGTAAAACATTTCTATTTATAAATAGAAGACTGTCGTATTTCAGATTGTGGCTGCAATATTGTAATGGTCGAAAATCAACAACCATGATAATCGTAATGTTCGGTATTATGGGATAGCGCTCTTCGCCCCGCTAGCATCTCTGCGCTCTGCCCACACCCAAGGGAAACGCCGATATTGATATTATAATCGGCGTACACCACACACATACACACACTATCACCGCTGCCTAGTACCCGTGGTTGAGATTTGACCGGCCAGCGCTACGTTATTATCAATTACTGATCCACCTCTACCACGAATACAGGCCAATAAAAATAATGTTACCGATTATAATATTACATAGTAATTTTTCGCGAGTGTCCGACTTCTTTACTTTTGTTGTGCGTCATAAGTGGTCAACACGATGACTGAGTAAAACACCGTCTCGCCGAGGATGTCCTGGTGACGATGCCAGGGCCGTATTTGAGGGGGGGCAAGTGTACCTTGTTGCCCGGGGCGGCAAATTGTTTAGTCCATTTAGGGGGCGGCAAATTTATGTTGATAAATTATTATTGTATATTAACTGTTGAGAAAAAATAAATAAATTTACATAATTTTAACCTTCTATTAAAAACATTATTATAGATCGAAAAGGTATAATATTGTTAACATCAGTTTGTCGGAAAATAATATAAATTATATTATTAACATACTATTTATAAATAGATTGGGTTTTTGAACGTAAGAACGGCAAGAATCAAGGAGGTTAATCCACTAGTTGAGTATTCTCCGTGTGCTGCACACTCTCTAAATTTGGTTGGTAGTTGTGTAGCAAATTGTTGTGAAGAAGCCTGTCATTTTTTTGAACTGTTACAAGCAGTATACTGTTTTTTTACGGCGTCGACTCATCGTTAGGAAATGTTGAATGCAAAAGTCACGAAAATCACGAAAATTAGCAAATTATTTTGAGTTAAGAATTCGCAAAAATTTTTCTTTTTAAATCTAAGATTTGAAAATGTAATACAAGATTACTTATAAGTTTGTCTACCTTTATCAATAAAAAAATCTCTACCGGACAGTAAAATTAAATTTTTATGAGCGTTTGAAATTCAAATTTTTACAACATTGGATGTTCACTCGATTTCTCATGTAGCGATTTCCTTATTTTGTTGTTATTCATAAACGAATAACTATAGATACATGAAAATTTCACTGAATGTTTATATTAGCATTTCCTATACACCATACAATTTTTAAAATATTTTGACTCTTTTTGAGCTGTTTACGGATATTTTCATTTTTCAATTTTTTTAGTCTTTTTTTCTATGATTATCAATTAAGTTTTATCTGTTGGGCCAAAAGTGTAAAAATTTAATACAAGGCTCCTGATATATTGTTACAATATCAGTTGAAAAATATTAAAAATACATAGGCACAATTTTTTTTTATAAGCATTTATTTCGAATTTTGACAGAATTTTTCAAAATCTCGAAAATTATTAATCATCGTAATTAATAAATTATTAAATGTTCAGTTTTTATAGCTAAGGATTGAAAATTTAAAACAAGATTCCACGTAAGTAGTTAATTCTCTTACCGAAAAATCTAAAAAATATACAATCACAGTTTATTTTTATAGTCATTTTATGTTCAAATTTGGACGAAATTACATATTAAAAAACCTAGTTATTTTGTTGTGATTATATAATATTATTCGTGGGTACCTACTTGAAACTTCTAAAGTGTACTATTATATATCTATGATAGTATCAGGGTTTGTTATTGATGTAGATATATAACATGTTATAAGTACCTAATGGATATTGTGATAATGTGATATGATTAATTTGGAATTTATTATAGGTCAATTTTTTTTTTAATACCATAGATATGTATATAATTTGTCTTAAACGACTTAAACCTAGACTGACATACCGTCTTCGCTCAGAATCGTTTATCTTATACAATGATACTATATCATTGCATTCAAATTTAATACCATCCATTATACAGTGCCCCACTTGTGACCTACAGTACAGCAGAGCGACATCCACTTACCCACCTTAATTTTATTCTCAAACCTTCAGTCCAGGAGAAAGTTATACATTTTTTTTATATATTTTTATATATTGTTATTTATATACCTATTTAGATTATAATTATTAATACCAAATACAAATAATAAATGATACATTATTTACTTAAAACTATTTTCTTTAATTGACATTGGTTTTCCTATATAAATAAATAACTATAATAGAAGGAATTTTGTTTAATGTTCATAATATAATATTATTCATAATAAATTTTACAATAATAAATTACGCACATAATATGTATTTAATATTATAGTGTATATTGTATATACATTTAATTCGCCAATATTATATAAGTGACAGTAGCATATTAATGTATTATTATGTTTATGTAGTTGGTTCAATTTTCTTTGTACCAAAATTGTATACAACAAAATAGTTACACCTTACTTTTTAAGAAATAGTTTTTTTTTTTTTGGTGGGGGTGGGGGGGAGGGGCAGCGGAAATATGTTGCCCCGGGTCGGAAATTGTCCAAATACGGCCCTGGACGATGCTCAGCACCGCACGCAAAATGGTAACGATTTTATTATTACTAAATATTTACAACTACACCTTGGCTGGTACCTATTCGTTATTTTGTAGGTACGATTTTGTAGGTATGATTTTTATTTCTTATTATGTACGGCGGTAACCACGTAGGCACCGCGCCAGTACCCTGCTATAATGCAGTTTGTGTATTATTATTGGGTGCCGGTTGCCTGTTCGACGGTCATGACTTGTGTTCGAAAGTCGTGTGTTCGAAAGTTCATGTCATCGAAAAATTGTATCTTCGAAAAGCCATGTGTTCGATAAGTCATGTGATTAAAAGGTAATTTGTTCAAATAGTTATTTTTAAATTGTAATAAAATATTATATATCTATAATAATAATAAATATAATATTATATATATTATATACCGTGTGTCCCAAAAATCAGGGGCCACTTTACTACTCATTACCGTGTAAATATTTTTCAATTCTGTTTGCGGGACATTAAACTAAACTAATGGATCGTAAATTTCTTTGACTCACAATGTTTCTAACTCATGTATCTTGCGCATGCGCAATAAAACTTACATTTTTTTAAATGGCAACCCGTAATTTTAATATCATATTCGGGTTCATCGATTTTTTTCAAGCCATTTTTATGTATCAACTTATGTCCTAAACCCAAAATTGACTAAACTAGAGCTAAGTAGAATTTAAATAATTTAAAAATTCAATTTAATTAATTTTTTTTTCTAACTGTACGTACTTATTTTTTTCTTCTAAACACCATGAAACAAACAAACAAACAATCAAAATTATTATTATTAAACTAATTACCTAACTATTTACTATTTATGAATTATTATCTTATTTTATTATTACGCATTATAAAATAACATAGTTTAAACATGTATTTTCAAGAAACAACATTTCTATTTTATTTTTTTTACCATTACTATACATTTTTATTTACAATTTAATTTACAGAAATTACAGACATAAACTATTCAATAAACTAAGAAAAAAATATGTACGTACAGTTAGAAAAATAAAATAAATTAAATTGAATTTTTAAATTATTTAAATTCTACTTAGCTCTAGTTTAGTCAATTTTGGGTTTAGGACATAAGTTGATACATAAAAATGGCTTGAAAAAAATCGATGAACCCGAATATGATATTAAAATTACGGGTTGCCATTTAAAAAAATGTAAGTTTTATTGCGCATGCGCAAGATATATGAGTTAAAAACATTGTGAGTCAAAGAAATTTACGATCCATTAGTCTAGTTTAATGTCCCGCAAACAGAATTGAAAAATATTTACATGGTAATGAGTAGTAAAGTGGCCCCTGATTTTTGGGACACACGGTATATACGATCTAGAACGTGGTCCGATAACGAAAAATAGGTTATGTCATTAAGCAATCGATAAGTATAACAATTAGCGTTATGCCTCATGCGATTATACTATACATGTTAACATTTTATCTAAAATACGCTATAGTGTTGACAGGAGACAGGAACATAGAACAGTACGACATACGCAATTGAACTACGTGCTTTTAAAAATGAACATAGATATTTTAAATAGTATTCATGGTGGTGTAGTTTTAAGTATTAATAATTATTTATACATAAAAAATAAAGACTACATTAGAAAAATAGACAATGTACATATTTTTGATTGGACTTGTGTAAAAAAATGTGGTGCAAAAATTCGGACTTTTTGTGAAAATAATGTACATTATATTGACAAGAATTGTATTTTTTCTGAAAATGACCATTTGCACGGAGCTGATCCAATAAGCGTAGGAGCAAGAAAAATAAAAGAAACTATAAAAAAAATGCACGAGAAAATCATGATAAACCAATACAAATATACCAAGTTGCAATCGCAGGAACGTCTCAAACAATTAATTCACATGTCAGTAAAGAAGCGGCTCGACAAATTATTAAACGTCAAAGACGTAATGAAGATATTTACTTGGAGCCACAAACAGCAGATATAATTGACTTACCGTTATACTTGCGTGAAACATTATCAGGTAATGCATTTTTAGTAAAAAAAAACCAACGAAGTTTTGTTGTTTACAACTTATGAAAATTGTACATTTTTACAAGAATCGAATTGTTGGATAGCAGATGGAACTTTTAAAGTGTGTCCAAATATTTTTTACCAATTATATGTTATTCATGGTTTAATTAAGAGAGGAAATGATTCAACACAACACATTTTTGTTCCACTGGTATATGCTTTAATGACTTCAAAAACAGAAGAACTTTACGTAAAAATTGTTTAAACTTTTAATTGAATTCTGCAATGATAATAATAAAAGAATTGATGATAATCCTGATTTGGAAATCGTTACTGATTTTGAAAAAGGTGCAATTAATGCATTAAATGATATGTTTCCTCTCGCAACACATTCTGCATGTTTTTTCCATTTATCACAAAACATTTTCAAAAAACTTCAAAGTCTTGGTCTCTCTTCAATGTATTCTAACGATCCAGAATTTAATTTATTAGCAAAGCAAATACCTGCCTTGGCATTTTTACCAGCTAATATGGTTAGTATGCAATTATTATTTTGTAATTTTGAATTGTAATTTACATTACAAATGAGTATTGTTTAAAGATTGTAGATGGGTGGACATTATTGAAACCTTTGTTTAAAACCGAAGAAGAACAACAATTATCACAATATTTTGAGGAAACGTATGTTTTGGGAAAATCAGGTATGCGTTTGAGAGGAAGACCAACAAAACAAACCATACGTAATCCACCAATGTTTCCTCCAGAAATGTGGTCAGTAGCTGACCGTCTAAATCTTGGTTTGCCAAGAACCACAAACGTTGCAGAATCATGGCATAGGAAAATAAATAGACTAGTTTCTCCTAATCCAAGTAAGTTGTAAAAATTAATAGCTTAGAAATATATTAAAAATAAAAAAAAATATGCTTCAGGTCTATTTAAATTCATTAAGTTAATACAAAAAGTGCAAAACGAAACAGAATCAACAGTTGAACAGCTTATACAAGGACGGATTTCAAAAAGAGCAAAAAAGAACGTTGATGTACAAAATGCTCGCCTTAAATGTATTCAACAAAGAATTTACGATGACGACAAGTTAGACAAGTTAGAATTTTTAAAAGGCATTGCACATAATTTAACTTTATAAATATTTATTTTTATTTTCGTACTAACATTTATTTTATACATTTGTAATAATAAATTTTAATTATATTATTACCTAGAATTTATGATGACGATAGTAAAAGCTGGCATTTTTAAAAGGCATTGCACATAGTTTAACTTTATAAATATTTATTTTTATTTTCATACTAACATTTATTTTACTTTAATAATAATACAATTTAATAATATATATAATATTTTATTACAATTGAAACATAACTATTCGAACAAATTACCTTTCAAACACATGGCTTTTCGAAGACACAATTTTTCGATGACATGAACTTTCGAACTCACATTTTCGAACACTTGACTTTCGAACATATGATTTTCGGACAGTTGACACCCACCCTTGCTACACCTTGTGTAGCTTGTTTTTTTTTTTTAAGGTGACCCTTTTTTACGGCAAAGTTTTTATGCCGCGTGGGCTTTTCTTGCCCATAAATAAATTATTATTCTTTTCTAAAATTAAAATAAATATACATTTAATTCTCCCATCAACTAAGTGTTATTATTGCTCTTCCCTATTTTCCATATTTTTCAGCTAAACTCCGTATATCAGATACATTAGGCGCTCAATATAATATTATTATCTGGAACTAGAACAAAAATAACACGAGTTTTAATTTATAATTTTTTATTTTATCATAGTATATTGTACAATGAGGTGTTAAGAACCTCACATTGAATTGTAATTAATGTCTTTATAAAAACAGATAAGCGAATATAGACTTCCGATATTACGATTTTAAACTACAGCGCAGTGTGTTCGTATATGTCCTGTGTACTTGTGGATACCTCCGGTGGGTGACGAATATTTTCTGATACGTTTTCCTGATGTTTTATTCTTAGACAACATGCCAAGGCACACACGAATACCAGCACCGTGATCATGGCAATGATCATGAGGAACCAGCCATTAAGTTTGGACGGATCGTCATTTCTCTTAATCACTGTGAACACCAATGAATTACCCAATGTGACGGAGATCAACTGAGGCACAATGACGGACATATTCGGCTCACATACCAAACTGTCTCGTATCACCGAAACGACTAGACAAACTGAGGACGGTGAATCCATTACCCGTATCACGATGTCTTCAGGCTGTATATGCTGCAAGTGGACACCTATGATGACTATTGAACCACTTTCGTCTATTTTAAAATCTAACAGAACCGGATCAGGGTAGACGTAAAATCTGAGCGATGGACCACGAACCACTATTGACAGCGACTGATTCAAGGAGAAGTCTTCTTTACTGAATGTTATTTCCAGTCCGAAGTTCAGTAGCTGTCCCACAACCGACGTGTCTCCGTCAACGCTATCGACGTTCACTTTTGGCGATCGGCATACCATGTACGTATCGTTAACTGGTGGATCACAATAACTATCTGAATAAATTCTGATATCGTCAGGCATGTCAACGTATAGTCGGGCAGAGGATACAACGCAAGGTTCAGCGAAATGACTACCACGGACCGGAACGGAAGTGCCACCAGACGCTATGCCTCCAAGTTGGTGGGCCACGTCCAGTACGGGATTGGGACAGAATTGGAATATCTGAGGCGACTCAATCTTCAGCACGCTTTCAGTCGATGAGTACTCGACCAGAATCGGACCGGACAATATTTTGTTGGATTGTGTTGTGATGCACGTTATAGTCTCTGGTCCCAACGTTCTGGAGTTCACGCACACTGTTCCTGCTATCGTCACAATTACTGTTCGGTTCTCTGATAATATCTCGTGGTTCCTCACTGTGATCGTCATGGTCGTGCCACCGGTTTCCGGCCCAGAAAGCGGATCGACTGCTGTCACATTTATTTCACCACAATCATTCGTCAAGTGTACGAATTTTATGTTTAACTGTTCTTTACCGTTGTTCGTCATATATAAATTCTTGCGAACCTGACAGGTGTTATTGGAGGAACACCATCTCAAGTAGTTTGAGTAGCCATCTTTATTCCATGCACAAGTAGCACATGATTTGTACTTTTCATCATTTGCACACTCTTCCTGTTCATAAAATGTGACATAGTGATCAGCCACGTTATCAAACCGTAGTATTACGTCATTGAAAATAATAAAAGTAAAAAAAGTGAACGTTGGATTATTATAACCAAAATCAGATTTTTTTACGTAGAATTCACATGATATTATCGTATTGTTATTTATGTTAACCTGTCGAGTTGGATATTTACAACGTGTTGGAAATCTAATATAAAGTATACTGTCATTAAGATAATTTCTGAAACCTACCAAATCATTTGATAAATTAACAATGTATTTCATGGAAACACTTGATTCACCATAATTATATTCTTTAACCACTGAAAACCGTGGACATTCCTCTATTCTGAAAACTATCAAACCCGACGAGTTGAACTGATCCCGGTTTTCACATGTCTGTTGTTGGATGAACCATATACACATAGGTTTAATTGTACATTTGGTGCAAGTCATTAAATCTGAACAACTGGTTTTATTTGAATCTGGAAATATGGATGGAAGTATAGAAACAGAAAGATTAAATGGATCAACTATAAGTGTCGGTGATCTATTGTTCAAAGTGTACGACAACGAATCTCCAATTTTTACCAAGATCTCGTGCAACTCAACTGGAGCGATGGTCATGGTTGGGTAGCATACAATACGATTTGATTTAACCGACACGACTACGCAACCCGTAGCCGATGAATTAAGAAATCGTACCACGATGTCATTCAGTTGCACATGATCTAAGCTAAGGCCGTTGATGACTAATGAACCACCTTCTTCGATTACGAAGTCCTTAAGGACAGGATCGGGGTGTACGTAAAAGCTAAGTGATGTCCCGTTGACGTTCAAAGACTGATTTCCCGTGAATTTCATCACATCAAGTCCGAAGTTAAGCAACCGTCCCACCATCGAATGGTTCCCGTTCCAGTGAGCGTTGTTCATTCTTGGCGATCGGCAAACCATATATGTGTCGTTAACCGGTGTATCGCAGTAATTATATGCGTACTGTTTGACACCGTCGGGCAGGTTAACGTACAGTTGGACAGAGGATACAACGCAAGGTTCTACGAAATGTCTTCCACGTATTGGAACAGAAGTGCCACCGGACGCTATGCCACCGAGTTGTTGGTCTAGGTCCAGTACGGGATTGACACAAAACTGGAATATCTGGGACGACTCAATCTTCAGTTCGCTTTCCAACGACGAGTACTCAACCAGGACCGGACCGGATAATACGCTATCCGCTTGTGACGTAGTGCAAGTTATAGTCTCGAGCCCGGACGTCTTTGGATTCGTGCATACTGTGCCTGCCACCGTTACCTTTAACGTTCGATCCTCAACGAATATCCTGTGGTTTCTAACCATGATCGTTACGGTCGTTCCACCGGTTTTCGGTCCAGACAGCGGATTTACGGCAGTCACATTTATTTCGGCACAATCATTCGTCACGTACGCTACTTTTTCATTTAACTGATTCGTAGCATTGTTCTTCAGGTATAAACTCTTGTCATCTTTACATGTGTTTTCAGAAGAACACAATTTTAAGTAGTTCGAGTACCCATTTCTATTCCATCCACATGTCGCACAATTGCTGTACTTCTCGTCGTTGGTACACTCCTCATATTTGTAAACCATAACATAGTGATCAGCGACGTTGTCAAACCGTATCATAATACCGTTGAACTTAATAAATATAAAAGAAATGTCCGGCTTGATGTTAACTGATGATTTTGTTTGAGTATATGATATCAATATTTTAGAATCATTATTAATCTTACCTTGTGATTCAAATGCACCTTGAACTACTTAATAAATTTGATAGGTGTTTAGATAATTTATGAAACCTACCACATCATTCATTATCTCAACATAGATTTTCACTAAAATTTTTAAATTATCATAGTTATAATCATATTTTTTAACTACTGAAAACTTTGGACATTCCCCTATTCTGGAAACTATCAAATTCGACGAAATATATTGGTTCGTATTTTCACATGTCTGTTGTTTAAGGGACCATACACACATGGGTTGGAGTGTACAGTTTGTGCACGTCATTGAATCTAGGCACCTGATTTTATTCGACTCCATTATTTCTAGTGTGTTACTACTATGCGTTGAAAACATCAAACCCTATAGAAACCAAAAGTCTTTATTAATTTGAATTTAAATTTTCAGTACGTAATTATTATACATTCATATTTTTATGAGATTTTTAATTGAGCGAATTTTAATCAAACTTTATACTTTATATTTTAGTATTAAAATATTGCATTTATATTATTCTAATTAAATTTAAAGAACGAACTAATGATCTATAATACAAACAGTTTTTTATTTATATATTTACATTTAAATATATTTTATCCACACCTTCAATTTTAAAATCGATCTTTTGATTCTTTTTTTTACACTTCTAATAAAATATTGTGTATATTACTTAATATTATGTTATTTACTATGATACTATAAATAGCGATTGCGCCTTTTTCTTTTAAGTGTATATCATTGGCACGCTCACTTTCAAATTTTGAATTCAAACCAATAGCTTTCTTTTGTGCTACGTTTGTTCTGGATTGTGCTCGAATTTCATCGTTAGTGCTGTGACCCTAAAAGAGTTATAGGAGATAATGATTGGGGGTGTCAGTGAAACGACTACACCACCACCTCAGAATTTTCAAATTTAAATTATGCCATTCGTTTGTGCTACGTTTGTGCTAGTTTATGCTCAAATTTCATCGTTTTTACTGCATACCCTAATTAACTACAGGGAGGGGGTGGTATGGAGCCATAACACAATCCCAACTCAAAATGTTGTAACTTCAAATCAGCCGAACTTTAGTAGTTTGTTACTGATATGCTGTGCCATCTATTTGACTTAAGTACTCGACGACTTACGGAGTTCTCCTTATAAATTTAATTAGGTGGTTGTAAGGACAAGCCGACCCCCCCTTTCAGATACATAACGAATTGTTTAGTTCAAAATGTTCAAATCCTAAACTTATTTATTTGTACACTTTGTCTCCTTCGTTATTATTGCTTTGCTCATAAAAAAATTATAAGTCTTTCTTACGAGGGTATACTCTTTGAAGCTAAAACGAGGACAGTTTTATCGGAAATTGCTTGTGGTCGAAACTTAAACATGATCTATAGGTGTCCATTTATTATTTCTCGTAGTTTTTAGGTTCAAATTATTTAATTGTAGGAGTTTGATTTTAAAATTTACGTATTCGTAATAAATTGTGAAAATAAAAGTTCTCAAGTATATTATATACGTTTTTATCTTCAAAAAACTATTAAAAATGACCGAAGAGCGCATATGTAATATTTTTACTTTTACTGAAAAAATACGCATCCCTAAATATTGAAAAAAAACGAAAAGTGTAAAAAAGTTAACCAGGACAAGGTTAACAATCAAGTTCAAAATGTAATACAATTACTTAATACCTAGCTTAATATTGATTAGCGATTAGGTACTTATTGACTACAGTTATGATATTCATATTATGAACCATACCAAATCTGTAGTGGCCCAGATAAGTATGTACACCTACAGACTGTATTTATCAATCATTTTTTCTTCAACTTAATGTGTTCGGGTTCTAAATTACTATTATACAAGTAATATCTATTTTTTGTATGTTTACAATGTTCAACTATTGCCTTTAAATATCTATAGTAACCTATTTTTACTATGCTAGGTGTACTATGCATATTTTTTTTTCATCAGTTATTTTATCTGAGTCAATTAATGGTTTATAATCAAATAAAAATTAAAACAACGTGATTTTTCGAACATTGATTATTGATGAATTGAAATACTTAATGAAAATGAATCAAAAGAAAAAGTACTTAAAAGAGAGTAATGTATCACTTATAGAATTTAATTTAAAGCCAATACATTTGTTTTACTGTGTGTTACTCTATTTACGGGTGATACCACAATGTGGTGCATTGGTACCCAATTTGGAGCTCGAACCCACGATCTTGAGATTAAGAATCTCGTGCTCTACAGACTGAGCTAGCCATTTGAAAAACTTAGCTGACATTCTAGTATCTACGGAAAGGTGACTAAATAACCTATCCACAGGTGAAAAAACCAGACCTCTAAGTCGCAAAGGGGCCGAAAACTGGTCGACCAAAAAATGAAACTATAAACTAAAGACTTCTCTTGTCTCAAGTATAATATTCACAATTTATTACGATTACGTAGATTTTAAAATCAAACTCCTACAATTAAGTTATTTGAAACCAAAAACTACGAGAAATAATTAATGGGCACCTATGGGCTATGGATCATTTTTACCTTTCGACCACAAGCGATTTCCAATAAGACTCTAGGGGCTGTCCTCGTTGTATTCATTTCAGAGCATCCCCTCGTAAGAAAGACTTATAATTTTTTTATGATCAAAGCAAAATAAATAAGCTCAAACTTAGTCAAAACCAATGGGACTGATTTGGATAAAACAATTCGTTATGAGGTGTAGGCATGTCCTTACAACACCTAAATAAATCTATAAGGATAACCCCCCAATTAGTAGAGTACTTGCGTCAAATAGATGGTACTGGATATCAGTAGCAATCTACTAAAGTTCGGCTCATTTGAAGTTACAAAATTTTGAGTTGAGGTTGTTCTATGGCTCCATACCACCCCCTCCCTGTAGTTAATTAGGGTTTGCAGCACAAACGATGAAATTCGAGCACAAACCAGCACATATGTAGCACAAACGATAAAATTCAGGCACAACCAAAAGCCCTTGGTTTGAATCTGAAATGTTGAGGTGGGGGTGCAGTGGTTTCGCTGGCACACAAAACCTTTTCCCCCTATAACTCCTTTAGGGTCTCAGCACAAACTATGAAATTCAAGCACAATCCAGCACAAACTTAGCACAAGTTGAATTTAAAATTCAGAAGTGGAAGTGCCAGGGAAATGCACCTTTTTTTCGATGCTCTTTACGGTGTTTGAATTATTTTATCAACATTATTGAAGAAATATATTAATATAAATATTATCAATATCAGAAAAAAAATGTTGATAATCGTTAAATTATAATTTTTTTATTATTATTAGTATTCCTACTTACCATCGTAAAGACGATTAAAAAAAATCCATTCATACAGTTGTGGTTGAAACAGTTTTTATTTTTGTGGAACTTTGTGCTACCAGCAATTGCATTGTTCAAATGTTGTATTTTCCACATAATATTGTTAATCTATAAACAATTGTTTTACTAGAGTTCTTTCAGATTTCTTTTACAAACAATTCATTTTAATTCATATTATAATATACACTATACAGTTATATTTTATTTTAGATTCTGAGTGGAGCCAGTTTTACACTGGTGTTTAATTATTTATTTTTAGATTCTGAGTGAAACGATGAATGTATTGATGTTACAATGATGTGTGTTTTTTTTTTTTTTTTTAAATTAAAATTTTTTTTTGTGTCTGTCATCACGTTTTAGGACAGTAAAAGTGCTTGGATTTTCTTCAACAGTAGCTTTTCTGATAGAAAAGTGAATCTAGTTGGTATTTTGAGGAGTCAAAAGTGAAAATTTCCCAGTAGTTTTCAAAAGCGGCATGAAAAACAAAATAAAAATTAAGGGAAAATGGGAATTTTTAAACTAAAATCTGTTTTCGAAAAAATCGATTTTGGTTTTTGGTGTGACTCTTAAACGAATGACCGTAATTACATGAAATTTTGACTGAATGTTTATATTAGCATTTTCTATACACGATAACATTTTAAAAATGTTTGGATTTATTTTGAACTGTTTAGGCACATTTTCATTTTCAATTTTTTTTTAGTTTTTTTTCTAAAAATATCAATAAAATTTTATTTGTTGGTTAAAAAAGCTTGAAAATGTAATACAAGGCTCCTACTATATTGTTACAGTGGCATTTGAAAAATATTAAAAATCCTTAGTCACAGTTTTTTTTTTATAAGCATTTAAACTTCAACAATTGACAATATATGGAAAAATCACGAAAATTAGCAAATTATTTTGAGTTAAGAATTCGTAAAAATTTTTCTTTTTAAATCTAAAATTTTAAAATGTAATACAAGATTCCTTATACGATTATCTACCTTTATCAAAAAAAAAAAATGTCTATAAGAAAGTAAATTAAACTTTTATGAGCGTTTGAAATTCAAATTTTTACAACATTGGATATTCACTCGATTTCTTATGTAGCGATTTCCTTATTTTGTTGTGATTCAATAATGAATAACTGTAGATACATGAAAATTTCACTGAATATTTATATTAGCATTTGCTGTTCAAAATACAATTTTGAAAATATTTTGACTCTTTTTGAGCTGTTTACTTACATTTTCAGTTTCCAATTTTTTTTAGTTTTTTATTCTATAAATATCAATTAAGTTTTATCTGTTGGGCCAAAAAGTGTAAAAATTTAATACAAGGCTCCTGATATATTGTTACAATATCAGTTGAAAAATATTAAAAGTTCATAGGCACAATTTTTTTTATAAGCATTTTAAGAAACGCATTATAAGTATACCTTATGGATATTGTGATATGATTAATTTGGAATTTATTATAGGTACCTATTTTAGGTAAATTTTTTTTAATACGATTGATTAGTATATAATATGTCTTATACCTAGACTGACATACCGTCTCCGCTCAGAATCGTTTTTCTTATACAATGATATTATATCATTGAATTCAAATTTAATACTATCCATTATACAATGACCCACTTGTAATCTACTGTACAGCAGAGCCCCTTTTTTTTATATCCTGTATACAAAATATCTACAAGAAGGAGTGCTTCGATTTCAACATATATAGTAAATTATCTTTTACCAAATTGGATCAAGATGGTACCTTAGAAAGGAAATTTTTCGATTTTCTCAATAGTTATTTAATGACACAGGAAAAACCATCTACAAATTACGAAAAAACCTCTAAAAATGGAATTTTAATTTCTAATACTTTGTTTATCACCATAAAAACGAATAAAAAATAACAATACCTATCATAATATAAATTCATCTTACAGGATATATAAGTACATAATAAATAATAACAATATCCAGACTGACATACCAACTCCGGTCAGAATCGTTTTTCTTATACAATTATATTATATCATTGAATTCAAGTTTAATATAATCCTTTATACATTGACCCACTTGTAACCTACTGTACAGCAGAGCTTATAAGCAGTAACCTCACCAACTTTTTTTTATTTTTATTATTGATTTTAAGCCCGGCGACTAACGCCATGAGCTGTTTTAGGGGTTATGAACAGGCTAAGGTTGGTACAGTAAGGTGGTTTTACGGTTGTTACGGTAGGTAAGCAAACAAGTGTATGTATTGCAAGGTTTTTGCTACTACAAATGCGGGTGGTCACCCATCCGGGAGCTAGTAATAGCTTGCGTTACATAACATGCCGTGCCAAGCCACAGTTAAATTTAATATTCCATAAATAGACAACAGAGTTATGAATATTTTATAATTCAAAAGCATTTTTGCATAGCTTATGCTAGCTAGAGCTATACTTTTTCTCTATATTTCATATTGCATGCTTAGTTGTTTTATTCAAAAATTGTATATTTTTTCAATGAAATGGTTAATTATATTCAATTTTTGAAAAAAATTTGAAATTCTATAAACAATATTCGTCACTGGCCCTGGGTTGAGCACACCTGACCTACACAATCACTCAAGCCTGGGAAAGTTAATGATAATATGATAATTGAGTAAAATTAAGTTGATAGTAAATATTTTACAAAGTTATATGGAAACTTGAGTTACTAACTTAAATTAAGTTATTATTTTTTTTTTGATATAATATATAAATAGCTAATAATATGGTTTAAAATAATAAAAAGTAAATGTTCATGATAATAATTTATTCATCATCAATAATAATTGTATTGTATTTATATTTAGTTATTTATTTATAAATTAACGTAACTTTAATTGATCCAGGCTCGTTATTTATTGAGTTTTCTATAAAATCAGTTAAGCTAAAAATTAAGTTAAAGCGAAAATTAAATTTTAATAAGTTAAGTTAAATACTTTTAACTTAACTTTAACTTTTTAGTTTTTTTACTTGCTTATGCCAAGGCTTGCTATCACTTTGTCTGCAACTAAAAAATCATAATATTTCCATTGGTAGATACCTTATTATTTTCTTTAGAGGTTCATAATATTATAAATATTGAAAATTTCATACAGTTATAGCAAAGATGATGTAGGTACCTATATTAATTATATAAACATAACACCAATGAAAACAATTTCTAATTTTTTTTTCAAACACGTTATTTTAACAATAATTTTTTAAATTCTGTATAAAAATAATTAGGAAAATTTAGCTATATACCAAAATTAAAATATTTAACCATAATAACCACCAGAAATTGAGGAAAATTTCAGTCACTGAAAAATATATTACATTTCTATTGTATACAATATATTACATTTCTATTGTATACAATATATTACATTGCATATTATGTTATCATAATAAATAAAATGCTATGTATGAATGTTAGTTTTGTATATGATGTGGTTTTGAACAGATTTTTATGTGGTTTATAATATTTCTACAGTATAACTTTTGCAGAGTGAATTTTATAATCCTATAGCTAAATGAGTCAACAGAATATTTTGAACTATAATATATGGTGTTTATTTGTCTTGCTAATGAGTAATATGTACCTAATTAATTTAAGGAGTGACACAAAATGACAAAGGATGTTGTGATTTCTATTTTATTTTGAGCGTTTTGAATTAAATAATTAGCAAGTGTTAATAATTTTGAAAATTTTTTCAAAATGCTAACTCCGCATAAAAAACAATGTGGATTTACACTAAAATGTGTTCTTAATTTCCACTCATATCAACTTAAGAAGAAAATGCATTACATTTTCAAGATTTAAAAAAAAGAACAAAAATAGAATCGACAATAATTGAAAAAAAGTTTAAAAAAAATCTAATTGCTATAATAACAGCTCAAAAAGAGTCAAAGTATTGTTAACTATAAAAAATTGTTATTAGTAGATTAGGTGAAATTTTAAAGTATCTTTGGTTATTAGTTTTGGAGTTACATCAAACAAATTATTAATTTAATAGCCTACATACATACCATTTTGTGTACACAGTTTTTGTTAGAGAAGTGCTAAATCCAAGTGACAGAAAAGATTGTTTGTACAATATGCTGAATAACCAGTTATTTTCAAATAAAACACTGTATCTAAATTATAAACTACAAAGATAACATTTTATGGTGTGCTTTAAAATATTTTATTATTACATTTATTTTACTGTTAAATCACTGTGCACTATGTTATATTATAGTCAACGGTCACCGTAATAAGAATGTACTATGTACAGTTTCATAAAATATTATCAATCGCCCTTCATTAATAAATAGGCTATTGACATTTGATAATAAGTTTAGGTATACCTACCCACGTAAAAATGTATACTGTCAGCCACAAACTACAATAAAAAATATATCAAATTTATATTATAAAATATATATTATTATGATATCATTTTGGACTTTTTCACGTTCATTTATATTGTACATTTATATTTATACGTACTAATATTGTAATATGTACCAACCTAATTCAGAATAACAAGGTGACAAAGGATATTGTGAAATCCATACTATTTTGATAGTTCCGAATTAAATAATACTTACAATTTTTTTTTTTTTTTGATTGTGCACTTTAAACATGACGTTAAATCTGAGAAATTTATTTTATTTGCCATAATTTCCATTTATATTATAAAGACTATATAGGCAACAATGTATTAAGATTACACTAATCAATTATTTATGAACTGTGTTAATAAACGCACAATGTAGTACAATATATAAACTAAATTATAATATAACCCACGTCCCTAAGATATATTACGTTAGATATTTTTAGAAACTTCTTTACGATTGCTATGCTACTACAGAACAGCAAATAATTATTATGCAAATACATAAATATAATATAAGTATAGCCGTATAGGTACTCTAAGGAACTTAACATATAACTAATTAAAACAATAGCGATTGGTAGAGAAGACTTCGATAAAAATATATAGTATTTATATAAAAAGTTAACTAATATATTAAATATATTAAAACCTGTTATAGCAACAATTGGTTAGTATTTTTATCCATATATCCATAGTCGTTTCCCGTTAGTTTCATACCAGGAGACTATTCTTGGACAAGTCTTGGACTCAATTGCCTCATCCAGGCGGTGCAGGATTGAGATAGTTTGACGGTTTAGTGCACACCAATATTTATAGACCATAATACTTGATGGCCTCAGTAAAGATTCGTATATTGTGTATATTTTGTGTGAATTGTTATTTTGGATCTGAATATAATATGATTGAAGACGGTTATTGAGTATTTTTCATTTTTAATAAAGCGAAAAATATTGATAATTTTAATTCTATTATTAATTATTCTAATAGCCCTTGAAATATAATTTAACTACTATATTTTTAAACTAAATCGTATAATCACAGCCAACAGTAAGTTTTCTTTAAGCTATTAATATGTCTATCAAGTATCAATGCCAATTTACTGCAATTCATTGTTTTCTAAAGCTCATTTCAAATAAATTACGTAAAAACAAATTATATGTATACTTAGCTCAATTACCACAGCACAGACCAAAAAATAAAAATGTTTCATTAATACTGAATATACAATTAATAATTAACTAGCCATTTAAGGTCATATTAGAACACTATGATGTGGTATTATTTTTAATAAACTAATATGTAAATATAACATAAATATTGTAATTTAATAAACAAGTTGAACGGTATGTGATAATCTCAAATTAACTCGTTGGATCGTCTAATGATCATGTATTGATGATTGCTTGGTTGTATTCGGACATTTTTAATGCCATTTGAAATATTTTTTGTAGGTTTTCTTTATGTTGTGCAATTTACATGTTTAAATAATTAAATACATCAATATTCTTTTATGACATATCATAATATAATACAATATACATATATATTTTAAATAAAATGATTTAAAAAAAAAAAAACACTCGACTCGTATGTTTTAAGAACACTTAAAATGTCACCTGAGGTGCATGGCACATGGATAAATCATCAAATTATAATAATAATATACAATTATAATAGAAATAATAATTATTATTAATTGCGGTGGTCATTAGTGGTGTTTGGTGGCTGCTACCGTCAATATGGACGAGTGGAGCTCAAGAGCAGCTAGCACGTCCTGTTTATGCCGAATGTACATCCGGCCATCCCGCCATGGGTGGGTCAACTGAAGCGGTTTGAAGTCATCACGCAAACACCGTTCCCGGGCCCCCGTAACAGATACTAGACAAAAGTTACCAAATTCGGTGCTAGGGTATATTGGTCCAGTCTTGCCTTTGACCACTACGGACATGTTCAGCTGCTGCAAAAACAGCTGGACTACTTCACGGGCTGACGTCGTTGGACTGATGTGCAACTTCAGACTGGTGGGGTGTGGCAGACCCGTGTCGTACGCAGCGCAAACCTGTGTGACAACAACCGTGGATATCGTAAGACCATCAGATATTTGTGTATAAGGTACCATGCCGTTTACGAAAATCACTTACCTCGATGATCCCAGGTGCTGGGACGGGCACCAGCGATTCGCTCTTCATAGTAGCGTCCGAAAACCCTTCGTCGTCCACTTTATTTACGTCCTTAGCCCTACGTGAAAACAAATTAAATTTACAGTTAAGATATGATATAGTTAAGGTTGAGTCTATCGATGTTACTACACGGCATACGCTTAATTATTTTTGCATTATCGATAAACTTACGCGACGTGATTGGACTTCGACGATAGATCGGCCATACATGGAGACTGTCCGTCGTTATACTCTGGTTCATCTTTACTGTCTATAACCAAATCAAAGGCAAAATTATAGAAATAAAAATCTGATAATGTTTTGTATAACGATCCGCGTACCATTGCTTGTTTCTGAGGAACAACTCTGTTTTTTAGCCAAGACGTACCCTCGATCGTGAACCGGCGGCGATAGGTATTGTTCACTACGACTTATCTCTGGACACACCGATTCCAACGTCCGCATAGAATTCAACCCCGGGCCCGGCCAACTACCGCGGGACTTGACCAATTTTGAGTCAGGTAATTGTAACAGCTGTAAAACGTATATCCATGTTATAATTGTCTGCGTATACTGAACGGTCGTAAACTAGAATATTTGTTGGTGAGGATCATTTACCGAGTTGCTTTTAGCAGACTTCATTTCCAACTGACTGTTGCTGGCACTCTTTGAACAGTTAGAGTTGGATACTTGTGACTGGAACAGCCGCTCGCGAGCAAAGTTCATCACGTCCAACAGCCACCTCAAATGTTTCCACGCGGCGTTTAAGCCTGTCTCAAGCGATTCCACTGTGTCCAGCCGCTGCTTAGCAGTTTCCAGGTCAGATGAGCTCCATGCTTGTCTGATCGAGTACCTCGCGTCGTCTGAGTCCAGTTGCACGACACTGGAAAGGCGGGCGTACAGGAGCAGAGTTTCCGCTCGGTACGTGCCAAAGTGTATCATCTCGAACACCTGAACACTGAGTGGCACCAGCTCAATCCGGTGCAGGTGGACGGCTGACTGGTTGCCTTCCCCGACCGCACAAGCCACCTCGGCTGGAGGCACGATCATTATAAGGCTCACATCCCGGTCGACCTCGATAACCTCACTGGTGTACACCCGCTGCACAGACCGTTTGTCTTTCGGTATTTGGACCAGAGAGAACAGCCGGTTGGTAGCCATCTTGAACTGTGAAGCGAACCCAAGGCACGTGTAATCGCATGGCGCCCCGGCACCCTGCTGAAGCCACAGCCATTCTTCCCTGCAAAAAAAAAAAAAATGTTAAGTTTACGATTGTCCGACCTGTGGTATATATTATTGATCGACGATTATCATGAGGAAAACTGTTAAACAAAATATTAATATGTCCTAACTCAATCGTTGTGCAAACTAACTTATTGATATTAATTTATGATACGCAATAATAACATACAGTGCACTCGCGTCAATCATACATTTTGTACAGAAACATAGGTGGATATGAACTTAAAAAAACAGAAAGGAAGTTTACGCATACACGTATACTCACTAAGAGAATATAATATTATAATATGTATTCCCTAACTAATAAATTATAATTGATTGTATAATTGGTCAATGATAAGTATACATGTTAAATTTGTAAACAAAAAAATCATAACAATAGTTAGAAATACCTGCATTTATTTGGACATTTTTTTTTCTTAATTTACTAAATTTCAGCAACACTATTTTTTAATATTTGTGTTTAAACTATTGATAGCTATACAGACATGTGGGATGAACCATCTAGACTATATTATAGTGAATATTAAATTGTACTTACGCGGTGACGTGCGGGTTATCACGTATCTTGCAACAAACAGGCATATTAGGATTTTGCAAAGGTACCATAACGTGTAACATGTCTACTGAGCTTCTCATTAGTAAGTATCCGACGTATAAGCCTTTCTGCAGTTTGGCGTTGCTTGTTTGGTAAAACATTATTTGGTCCTAATTTTACAATAATTGTACGTTATTTATACAATTCGATAAGTTTTGAAAGTATTTAGATTAGTTTACTTGAATAGATGATATCAACAGATCGGTAAGATTATCAGAACGAGACGACTTTTTCAAAATCTTAGCCATCGGCGTCCATTTCAGGTTTACGATGTTTTTTGGCTGACACACGTTGTTTACCGTACATATCACAGTTGTACCGTCCGAGTCACGGATCGGTTTATAGTACACTTTACCTAGGTCTTGCGTATTGAAAATGTCCTAAAATATTTTTAAATTTTCATGAATACTGCACATTAGCGCACTACTGTTAACTCAGGGTCAGTTTAAATTCGTCCACAAGACGCGTGACTTACTTGCATCTGGGTGACAGCCTGGATGAGTTTCGTCCTGAAGCTAATCGAACTATTAGTCGATTTCTCCAAGTCATCCTTAAACCATTTGAGATCCTTCCACGCGAAAGCTATTTTGTAGAACCAATGGAAATCATTGAGCATTTCTTTTGGGTACGTGTCGTCAATCTCTACCACGGGTAAGTAGTCCTCGTTGGTCACCAGAACTTTGTCTTCGTGGTACAGCAGACAAGAAAGGTATACGCCTCTGCAATTTAAAAATAATTTATAACATAAACGTAATTTATCTAACTAATCAAAGAAAAATATTTTTAGATGAAGGGATACCTCCGGAGATTCTTATGAAGTTTAGTATTGCCGCTAAATAACTGCTTGAACGTCGGCGGCTTTCTTCTTTTCGTATTCGATGTACAGTCATTTCCACTGACTTCGAATGACGACCTGTGTAGGTCTGGACGAATGGAGATCATTTTGTCAAGTATGTCGTCCATCTTGACTTTCATTGCTGCGGAACATCGACGTGATTCTTGACAGACGTCCCACCAACCTAATAGCAGTTGCCAATAGCAATTAGATCACCGAGTTAAATAAAATTGACAAAGTTAAACTAACTTGAAATAGTGACAGAAACCGGAGTTGGGTATTGATAGTCACTGAAATCTTTCAGGTTTCCTGCACTGCATCGGAAATAGTAGGTCTTTCCATGTTCCAAATTATTTATGGTAATTTCTCCATCGGTTGCAGGTAAACATTTAGACCCTGTTACGTTTTTAAAGGATTCCGATGTACTCCATTCAACTATAGACAAATACAATATTGTTGAGAAAAAAAATAAGTTTTTAAAATATCTAATTTATAACAAATAAAACTAATTAAGTGGTCACTTTTAATTTAAATAAATGACTAAACAATGAGACAGAATAGTTGTACATAATTCATACAAGTTAATATTATTAATTGTTTTTTATAATATTTTGAAAGGTTATTATAATTATTCAAGATTATTTTTATCATTGTCAAGTTTTTATAGAGTGACTTACTAAACATAATAATATGTAATACGTAAATCAATGATTTCAAAAATGTTATATACTTGAAGCATAATATAGGTACTCTATAGGGAATTATATTCTAATAATTTGTATGAATACTTTGATACAAAAAATTATTATTTTAATATATAGGTAGGTACATATTATATAATTTATATAGAATATAGATAATATCTAAGTTATACTGTAGAAATGGAAAATATTTACTTTAGACATTTTTCAGAATACAAATGCAAACTTAAAATAACAACAACAATTATTGTGTGTCAAACGTAAAATAATCGACTAAGAGCATTTAAAAAGTTTGAATTCAACTTTTACTATTGCCCAATAAGTGTCACTTGTGCTCACTCATTTTTCAATATCATGAGGCCTGACATTTCGTACATATAATACAATATCAATAAATTTCAGATTACACTTTAATATTCAAAATACTCAATGGTTTTTTTTTAATTATTGAGCGTATTATATGAATATACTGTATATTGATCAGCTTTGTTTTATCATAATTTAAATATTTACTTTAACTAACACTTTTACCAGGAATTTTACCAAATTCTTTATGTAAATAAAATATTATGCTTACCGTTGAATTTAGTACATATAGCGCTTTCTGGGTAATCAGCTTCTATACAAGATACCCTGACGTTATCGTTTCCCGTTACCTCCAGGATAATTTTCTCTGGCTTATCTGGTGGCTCTGTAAAAAAAATAAAAGTTTAATTAATTTAATATAATATTTTCGTACGTCACACGACGGGTGCGATTAATATTAGGTATAATATATCTATAAGGTATAAATTCTCGGCGCTATCACTGGAACGTTACTATAGGTATACACAAAATAAGTATAACGGTTTCACGAACAATAGTCGATCCCGGGAAAACATAATTTATGTATTATAATAGTGTAGTAATATTGTGCATAATATTAATAAAATATCCCTCCCGTAAGACAAAATTAATTTTATTTTATACGTTTTTCGTAATGCCACATTTTTAAATAGAAAAAAATAATAACATCAAGCACTACGACCGTTATTATTTATTATGTAGATAACCCAAACAGAACAAAAAATCTCAAATATTTAACGTCTACTCCAGAATACCAATAATTATATTTTGACATTGACTTAAAATTTTTTTTTATGTATTTAATTTAAAAATCTTCATACCCGTCCTCAGGACAATGACAATATTATACTTTATAATACCTATGTATTTATGTATATTCACTGTACGTATATACATGAAAATATCATCTTCCAAACGTTAATTTTTATTTCTTTAAGACTCGAGAACTCAAGTACATAATTCTTTGGACCCACAAAACCTCACGTGCACACATTTGTTTTTCTTGTTCGTACACTACTGTTTACATCCTACTATTTTTTCTACGAAGATCTGAAAGTCATCTCACAAGTGTGTGCTCTTCGACATAGTTTTTCATTCAAGGCAAACATCATTTGTGTACGTGCGTGTCAAATTGATCTGTCATTCCCCCTCGAACTATTTTAGGTCAGATTTTGTTTAAAACAGTTTTATACTTACTGGCATGTTCGAAACCAATACGCATTTTTTTCAAGCCTCTTTTCCGTCTCTCCCATAGTGCCAGCGATTTGGTCTGAGAATCATCTTGGTTACCGCGACGTCTAAGTCCTATGACCCGATCTTCGGCTTCTTCGAGTAAATTCGACAAGTGCGTTTCTAAGTTTTTCATACTAGTCTCTAAACAATGTCAATAAAAAAAAATACACTTTAAGTAATATTTTGTTTTTATATGATGGGTATTTTTAATTTGTAATCGTTTACCTTCCGTTGCTCCGTGGGCCAATAGAAGTCGAACCAGATCTCGGTTGTTGCTCAGAAAAGCAACGTCTAGAGGTGTCAACCCATCGCTGTTTACACTGAGTAGAGGAAAAAAATCAAAACGTCATCGATAAGTATAATATTATGACATATACGAATTTTGATAAGACTTTACCTGTTCACTTGAACCTCACATGTCGTCAATATGTTCTTCGCCTTTTCCAGTTGGCCGTGTTCCACAGCAGCGAACAGACCTAAAACGATTGCATAACAAACGATTAAACAACTCCAGACCGTAATAATGTTTAATGTGCATACGCATAAATTCATAATATTGTGTTAAATACAATCGTGTACTATGTGCAATTTTCCGTCAGCCTTAACGAACCGTCTACGAAGTTATATTGTTTGGTAATGTTCTTAACGTGTCCACAAAATAATATACATATATATATATTGTTGTTGAGACGTCCTAATGAACTCGAGACGTCTACAAAGGCAAATATATTTGGTCACCTAATGGGGGGTTGCATACAATTTAATTTCCTCGGAATTTCGTGAAAACACCACTGCAGTTATATATAAAGTCCGGAATTTGACAAAACGCCTTACACTATAGTCAGATAAACTGAATGTCTCGAGACATCTGGCACACAGGGTTTACCGCATAATTTATGTGCAATGGGATTAGTGTAAATATAAATGTTTAGATTACCGTGCAAATGAATGTTGATATTGTGTACTTGAGACTCTCGTGCCTTTGGGTGGTGATGTTGACGTTGTTTTGTCTGTGTCTCCGAACTGGAGCCATTGTTTCTCAGTGACGATATTGACGTTCCTAAACATTAAAATAACAAAATCTGTTAGAATTTTGCCATCGACACATCGTCGACTTAATATCGATTTGTATTAATTATGATTATGGTTTATGAATACGTTCATCACAATAAATGACAATGATATTAATAAATAAATTACGATAGTGTTATCAATAATGTGTATTTCACCTAATCTGCCTTACATCAATTAAAATGGGTCTGTTCGTATGCCTTTGATTTAATTAAAAATGTAGGTATGTAGATTTGGGGAGTAGCGATAATTTATCAACTTAAATTTAAACTTATAAATTACAATTTTGTTTTTACGGTTTTTAACGGTTCGAGATTATTTCGATAGAGTTGCACTTCGATACAAGATTTAAAATATTATAAAATAAATCGTTAACATTTACTCATTATATAGTACACTTTAATTCACTGCCTATACGTTTTTTATGCTGTATTAATTTAATAATGTTATTCATTGCGTCCATCACTCGAACCAAAGGAACTAACTTAAACACTTCAAAAGTTTAATAATTCGAGCAAACTGTTATTTCCTTTTAAACCTCTTATAAAATGTTATGTTATGTTTTCTCCATTGACTCGAACAATAATGAGATAATTTGACTGAATTCATTGAATTATTATTATTCAGATTTAAAACAAAAACCATCTAATTTCTACAAAAATTGATAGTACCTACGTAAAATTCATTATTAAGACGTACAACGACACAACGATTGTATACTCTAAATAGTAAATACATATTATACATAAATGTATTTCTTAACAATACTCAATAACATGATTTACTTAATGGGCTTTTATGGAGTATATCCGTAAACTTTTTACACTAAAAAGTATTTATAACATGTTAATACATATACATAATATATATTTATATAGAATATAATATATATTATATTTTATCTTATAATATATTATGTTTTCAATTCGGAAGGTAACGGAAAACAACTATGCAATGTTGTTCCCTAGTACCTGTACAACAAGACATTCAATAGGGTATACTGCCAGCCGATCACGAGATTGTAAAAACAAGAACAAATATATTTAAAATAAATTGAAAAACTCGATAACTGGATTTTATTCAATGTTTCAAATTGTAGAAGTTTCACGTTTAGAAAAGAAAAAAATTGAAATTGTGAAAGTATCGACCCATAGACAAAAGGTGAGGTTCTATAGGGAATCGACTTATCCCTAGATTTGTTTTGAATTAATATTCATATTCGTATAATATATTTCAGTTGCCATGGAAATTTAGCTAGTCTTAATTTAAAATTATAAACAGTATTGTCTTAGGTATTCCGAGGGTATGGTTACGTGTACTAAAACGTCAGATAAAAAACTTTTTCATTTGAATTCATTATCAACATTTATTAGTTAATACATGGTATAACGGTACAGTTTTTTAAGACACGATTTTGAATTAACAATAAAAAAAATACGCTTGAATACAATACGAACTTTAAGTGAAATATTTATACTTTTGTGAAAGAAAAACCCCAAATCATCAACTACACTGTTCTTGTCGACAATGAAACGAACAACAAAATATTTAACAGGGCGCTGGAAACACTAATGTAAAATGTTTTAAAAATTAAATTCCGTGGCCTTTTCATAAAAATAAATAAAACAGTGAGTGAGAAGGAAAACAAATAAAATAAAAGAACGTGGATTGTGTGTAGGAGTGTATGGGGGGAGGGGGTGATTCACGTGTACCTACACATGTTCATTAATAACGGTGTGAACGACGTAGCTAGGGTGGTTGCGATATAGGTATTATATATATTATATGGGTACCTTTCCATACATAATATTTTGTTTAAATATCCGCACGTGCGAAACAATAACCGCTTTATTCAGTTCCGCGTGCATTGCAAATCGTTACGTAATGAACGACAGCACGTTGTGGTAATAAATTACTATGTATTATTATTATTATTATTATAATTGCCCGACGCAATGGTTTAATAAGGATGCCAAACGTATAAAAATGAAAACAATTTTTTGAATCTTTTTTTATTATTATTATAGTAGTGGTGGATTCCAAATCCTATGTAAAAGGGTGATCGTCCTCAAAAAAAAAAGCAACGGTTGAACGAAAATAACCAAATGAGATTAGAACGTTATTTTTTTTATACTGTTAGACCCACAATCACAATTTATATTATGTAATGTCATATGTTTTCACAATTTTTATGAAAAATAAAAACAAATAATATTTTAAGCGTGATTTTATCAAACATTGACGTCCTTCAATATTCAATACTATGTTGTATGATTATTATATCCATCGGATGTTAATGACGCGTGTTATCATAACATTTATAATTTATAAGATATGTAAAACACCAAATGATAAACTATTATAATTAGTTTTTAAAAAATGTGTAGTATTTTATATAATATTTTATTCACTTATTGCCTAAAACTTATTATAACACTCTCAACAATATATTAAATATGGGTGAAACCGTCAAAATTCGTATATAAGTGCAGAACTACTAACTATTTAGGTAGGTACTACATAATATTGAAATCAATAATCACTATTACTTGAAATATCATATCGTGGATCTGATGTGTCATGTTTGTATTGTTGCCAATCACTTCCTATTGCATCTACGTAAAGTGCACACCGCGTATCGCAAATAGTAATACTATCAGTAATATTATGCTATTGGTGATGAATTCGTAGAAAGTTAATAAAATACCTACAGATAATAAAACATTATCCATAGCCAAATTTCCAAACAAAGCCTACTGCTTAAAATGTTCATAACTTTACAGAAATTAAAAATTCAATTTTTAAATAATATTTACGTAAATTAGGTTTGTATTAAAATATATACCTGTGAATAGGTCGACTGGATTAAGAAAAAAACACACAACTAATTGTCTAATTATATGTTCAAAATTCTCAAAAATTCTATCTCAAAATATTAATAATTAGTAAGAAAACCGTAGCGAGACGTCCAACACACGACACGCCGTTATTGAATTTCATTCTGATAACTAATCTCGTCATAATTATTGTAATATTGTAATATCATTAGTGCCTACAACCACGAACCGCGGTATACCCATAGGCGTGTATGGGACTAGCCAGTCGAACAAGAACTTACGAACAGTGAACATTAACATGGTACTTGATGAATTTAAAGCCATGGAAAATAGGCAGATTTATCTATAATATTTATTTTTTTTAATAATTTATATAAATTATAATATTTATAATATTTTTTTTCCTCATCATCAACATAATATATTATTATCTGCTGGAAGGTATAATACCTACAACAGATTTATTTGTATATTTACATTTAAAATGTTAAATTATTCTGTTATATTTTGAAGTAAATACTAGATATTATCATTAAATTCAAACAATATGTACTATATCTATTAGCTACTGTATATTGAATAAATATTAGGTACCTATTATGTTCGCAATTATAAAATAATATTTTTAAAAAAAAGGGCAAGTGGATATCACTCTGCTGTATAGTAGATTACAAGTGGATCACTGTATAATGGATGGTGTTAAATTTAAATTCAATGATATTATAATATCATTGTATACGAAAAACGATTCTGAGAGGAGGTGGTTTGTCAGTGTGAATTTTTTTATATTATGTTTATACCTATTGTTATTAATTATTATTAATACGTATTAATAACGATAGCCGGTAAGTTGCATAATTCAACTTTTTGCAATTTTATAATATTAATTATTAATATTATAAAATTATAAAAGTGAAAAAAAAATAACTAAAATCATCGTTATTCTATTGGTTCTTTAATATGTACCTAATTTCTACCTAATATCTACCTAATTTCGTCTAAATTTGAACATCGAATGATATTATTTTAAAAAAACTGTGTTTTTATATTATTGAGATTTTTGTACATTATACATTTATAGAATAACCTACTTACGCGGAACTTTGTTTTATATTTTAAATTTGATAAATTTTGTCAAAATTTGAACTTTAAATGCTTATAAAGAAAAATTGTGCCTATATATTTTTTATATTTTTCATCTCCTTAAGTAACAATATATCAGGAGCCTTGTATTAAATTGTCATGCTTTTTACACAACTAATACAATTTTGTTGACAATTATAGAAGAAAAAACTAAGTAAATTAAAAACCGTCAGAGTATTTTGAAAATGTTATCAAATAATATAAGAATTGATAAAATAAGCATATGATATAAACTCAAGTGTCTATGGTTTCTGAATTACAGCAAAATAAGAAAATATTGCTAGATGAGATATCTAGTGAATATCAAGTGAATGTTGTAAAAATTTGAAGTTCAATCGCTCATATAAATTTAATTTGATTTTCCAACAGAAATTTTTTTTGATAAAAGTAGACAAACGTTTAAGGAGTCGTGTATTAAATTTTCGAATCTTAGATTTAAAAAGAAAATTTTTTATGATTTTCTAAATCAAAATTATTTGCTGCAAATGTTCTTGATTTTTAAGTATTTTGTCAAAGCTCGATCTTTAAATACTTATAAAAAAAAATTGTGACTATGTATTTTTGATATTCTTCAACTTCCATTGTATTAATGTATTAGGAGCCCTTTTTATAAAATTTTCAAGCTTTTTGAAATAACGAATACAATTTTATTGACATTTTTAGCAAAAAAAAAAATAAAAAATTGGAAACTGAAAATGTCCGTTAACAGCTTAAAACAAGTCAAAATATCTAGAAAATGCTTGTATAAACATTCAGTCAAAATTTCATGTATGGTCATTTTTTTTAGAGTTTCACTGACAAATTAAAATCGATTTTTATGAAAAACCTAATTTTTCTTTTGTTGTTTCCCAGTGCTTTTGAAAATTACTGGGAAAATTTTACTATTGACCACCCAAAGTACTAACTAGATTCACTTTTCCATCGGAAAAGATGCTGTTGAAGAAAATCTAAGCATTTTTACTGTCCTAAAAGGTAAAGCACACATTATTGTAAAAATAATACTTTCATCCCTCAGCTTAGAATCTAAAATATTTAGCTTAATATTTAATGTTGTATAGAACAGGTCATAGATATTTAGTGATTTGTGGCGCAATAATCATAATTATTTTATATTATATATTGATGAAAAATCTATGAACACAGGATAACAACGTCGTATTATTCTTTATCTATAGCAGGATGTGGAATGGCCAATGAGTGCGAGCAAAACTATATATTATATTTCAATATGAGTAATTACATTACAGCTCATAACAGAATACAATTCTCACAACTATTTTAACATGGTTTATCGGTTCAGTAAATTCACAAACATCTGAAAGAATTTTTATATAAATACAGATTGTGATAACGGTCTGTGGAATGGGAATTGTTTACAGTTTGTAAACTCCCAAGAATATTGGTCAAGTCGAGCCTGCGATTTCGGTTTCGATCTGAAGAAAATCGGAGTATGCTCGCACCCATATAATATTATTATGATGGTGGCCAAATAGTAATTGGGTTATATACCGTCGTCGTACGAACCTATGTCGGTGCCGAACCGTCTGGTCTTTTTGGCATCGCGCAGCGCACCGACGACCGCAGACGACGACCGTTTCGCCGAGAACGTCGACGGCGGCAGCGGCACCGGCAAACGGTCATCGCCGGCGTCGATGTAGAAGCTGGTGACGGGCACGTCGTACATGCGCATCCGGTTCGGTACCGCGTCGTCGCCGTCCGCGTAGCTGACGTTCGAGTAACCGATGGACGAAGACAGGCATCGAGCGGCCACCGGACCGGCCGGCGCGTCCTTGAGTATGCCACCTCTGCGGCCGAACGCCGTCGCGGCGCAACCGTGGCCGCAAACCGGACCGTGGTAAACGCGTTCGTCGAACTTTACGCGCTTTACGATAGGCACGGGCGGTGGCAGTGCCGGCCGGTAGACGGCGGTGACGTTCTCCTTGTCCTGGTCGGCGCCCACCGTCCACCCGCGGCGCCGCAACCGTTGGCTGAACCGGGCCAGCGACACGCGCGAAAACGATGACACCCTGGACACGCGGTCCGCCGCAACCGTTCCGGTTTCGCGCCGGTCGGCCGGTATGAGGCGTTCAAAGTCCGCCATTTGCCGGTGGCAAAAGCGCGGTGACGACGACGGTTATTTGAACGCGTCACGACGAATGCGCGATGTTGTGTACCACGGACGCGACCGTTACGCGCGCAAACGTAAACTGCGGGCGAGGCCGGGTGCGTGCGGCCAGCAGTGACTAGGGGGTCCCCGATCCCGAAAAGAGCAGATGCTTGCACAACCCCCGCCCCGACCCCTCGTGCCTCGTGCCGTGGGGGTATACCGCGTTCTACCGGAGACTACCGGTTTCCCGCATAGGTATATAATAATATAAATATTATGTACGTGAGTGCACGTCACGACAACCACGCCGTATCGCTGCTATTATCTTTATTATTATTATTGCCGGGCCGTACCAGACCCTCGCCCGCCGGTGATGCATATATGATGTATGTTCGTCATTTCAGTGGGTCACGGTCGACGAACCCACTCATTCGGTTTTATGTACAGGGTGATTCACCAATAGCGAATACGCTCACCCCCGCATTGTTTTCCTTTTTTTTGTTTTCCACATTGGATTTATTATTATTATTCAAATTTTGATTTTTTAATCTATTTTATGCATAACTAATGATCATATTATCAATTATTTAGATTTTTTATACCATTAAGGGATGAGATATAAACTTTTAATTTACATATGAGCATCGCTCATTTCACCTGTGATTTGTTAAACAGATAACATTTTTGAAATGTTGATGTGTTCAAATCGAAATTCGTACGAGTAATTAGTGAGTAAATTAACTTCGTGTAAAACCTACATACTAATGACAATATTATTTGGAAGATTATAGAGCAGCTATTATGATTTTAAAACTTGAGTTATATTAATATAAATTTATCAACCATAGGTATTAAACAAATATTAAATATGAACCAATATTAAAAATGGATATAAAAACCATTTTTAAAAATCATAATCCTTGGTATATACATGTTGATAACACAGATACTTTTCGTTTGAAATTTGATTTAAACACATCGACAATATTTCAGAAAAATTATCTGTATTTATATTTACAATGAAAAATCTATTAGGTCTCATTTGAAAAAAGATGTTTGTTGTGATACCAATTTAAAACATGGTCCTTAATAAATTATACTTAAAAATTAAAAATATCAGAATTTGAATAAATTCATTATAATATTTTTAAAACAAATGGGATGAGCATGCTTAGTTTATCATCCTGTATAATATTATAATAATAATGTGCCATACACGAATGCGCATTGTGGGGATACCATTACATCATACACGCTCGAGTAAAATACAGAAAAGGTATATATTTACGTTCCACAAATTTCCAATAGTTTTCGGCGGTTTGTAATATTACAGTAAATATATATTATTTACCACCGATCATATCGAACTTAAAGACTATCTGTTATTTATTATAGTATTGTATGCACGTGATAAAATTTTCGAAAAAAAGTTGCCGGTTTTTGGTCGCCTCTGAGCTTGCCAGAGTAAATAGTAAACAGTTCACTTTGGGAACTGTCCAACAAATTTGTTGATTACATCGTTGGGCGGGTCCCAACTATTGTTAGAACTTTGGTTTTTTATAAAAATGTTTAAAATTCCGCTTTTTCGAGTCCATGATAACGAAGAAACTTTTGGAAAATAATAAAATAAACATTGCTAATAACAGTATAGATACCTACTTTTTGAAAACTATTTGGAGATTATTATTATCTGAAATTATTTGGACTCAATAAAGAATTTAGGATATGACATTGTAAGCAAATATTATAGTTTCTTACAGTTTCATTTTTACAATACATAATATATTAGTATGATATTTTCAATTTTCGTGTTTAATATTTTCAAATTACATATAATGTTAACTATAATGACTCTATGCTGTAATATTATGTATTTATGTTATATGAATTAAAGTTCGCATCACGAATCTTAGAACTTAGCTGTACATTTTTGGTGATCGTCGATACGTAGTGCTTCCAAAACATGTGACTAAGAAATCGAAATAAATTTAAATGTATTATTATAAATTATTTAAACATATTTACAATAACAAGCAACAATATAACGTTAAACAGCTGACGATATGAAAAAGAGAACCATATGTTAGTTATAACTTATAAAATACTCATATCATAACACAGCTGGTGCCTGGTGGTGTTGCTGTACTCTCATTTTAACTGGTACCTTTCAATTTCCGAAAAATTTCAACTGGCGTGCCACAGTCGAATACCTTGATATTTTATGGTCATGGTTTTTATTTTACCAAAATAACTATAGATTATTAATTAGATATTTCAAGCATTTTAATGATATTGATTATTTTATCTTTTACATTTTTAATATGGTGAAATACTGAAATGTATTATTTTGTTTAATAGTAATTGAAATTTTGGACTTAAGACTTTAATTTTTTTACACAAGTCTATTAAAATCATGCTTATAATATAATATGAAAAAACTTAAACTTGTCAAACGAATTTAAATCAATATTTCTTATATTAACACTAGATACTAATTTTATTATATACAGATACTAGAAAACATAATTTTAATTTTAATTCAATATAGTTCTATGCATTTTCAGATGTTTTCATTACTGAACGCATTACAAATTATATTACTTACGAGTATTTCACAACTAACCTATCCTATAGATGAGAGCCCAACAACCAATACAACTGTAAGTCCTCTAAGTACTGATTATTCCTTAAAAAAATATGAGTTTTAATCACGTTTTAAACAATTATTTATTTACACGATTAGGTAATTTTTTTATTGTATTTCTTGTCAAAAACGACAATCCGTGCGAGTGACAAGCAAATCCAGAGTATTCCAATTTCCGAAATCAATTTAGATTTAAATGGAAAAAAAACTCATGAAACATTATACATTCTATACGGTGCAACTATTTTTTTCAACAATTGTGTACGAGAGTTGTTTGTTTAACATGAAAAAACAAAGCTAAACAGAAAACATTTTTCATTTACATTTTAACACCTATGACCCCATAATATTGAACGTACCCGTTGTATTATAAAATACGTACTATTGATTGAATTCCTTTTTTTCATATTATATTATAATAAAACTAAAAACTAGTATTTTAATTAATTTTACACTTCGTGACGATTTCCGATTGATAACACTGTTATTCGAAACGCGTTATTCTTATGGAAATGTATCGAGGAAGCAGAATATTCTAGATTTTTGTAAGTTACGAAAAGTGTATGTGCTTATAGTTTTAAAAACTTAAAACACAAATCTAAAATTGTGTTGGAAACAACTTAAAATATCGTCAGGCTATGCGTGGCAGATAACAGAATACTTTTAATATAATATAAATAGTAGTAAGAGGCAATTGTACAAATCAGGTCCGAATAGCTTGATTTAGTTAAATTAAACTATTAAGATTTACAAGAAAATATCAACAATAATAACTGTTAATATATAATTATATTATAAAATCAAGTTAATAGGTATAGAATTCCACTTAAAGTCATTTCGTTTAAGCCTTTGGACAGAGTAAAACGTTATTAAATAGCAATACTGAAAAAAAAAACATTAGCAAGTGCTAATCAAGCTTTTTTTTGTTCTTCTGTTAACACCACATTAAGTAAGGAAAAATAAATTCGGAAAACGGATACATAATCCTTGTGATAACCATAGCAATCGTTGATTAAACAGACTGGAAATTGCATTTCACTCTTTTATTCTTAGGGAATTCGTTTATATTCACTCGAACGAGTCTTACACGCCAATACTTCGTGACTTGTCATGCGCATGAAACGGCTTCGGATGTAAAACAAATAAAAACAATATCATATATATTTGAAAAGTTATTTTTTGCCTTTAATTTATTCATTTAGTAATATACAATATATGTTTTTGAAATAAACGACGATGTAGAACCCTATCGTCTTCAGTCTTCACCTAATATAATAATAATAAACATAATATATTGTTTATTCCCGTGGACGACTTATTGATTTGCTGCATCAGAGTACAACTGCAGACCACTTAAATATTATTTACTTTTTAATGTATTTTATAAAAATATGAGATATGTAGGTAGGTTGACTCTTGACTGAGAAATGTAACAACCAAATCAGAAGACACTAATAAAACACACGAAACGTGACGGTTTGACAGAGGTATATACGTATGTTGTGTACTCGTGTCAATTGACACTACTTCAAAATAACGAACTCGTTGCCCGGTACCTAATGGGTTTTAAATTATAAGGAGATCACCGTGACCAATTTATTCCAAGCCGACGAGGATGATTGCCAGGAATTCAATATCATGAGCAAGGATTAGGATTAATGAAAATTGTGAGAGATTTTCGTGGATGTGTTCATAATAATATGTGTAAATATAATAATATACGTACTACCTATAGGTAATTTCTGGATTTTGAGGTCATCACACGGTGCGCGCGATTGCTATCATTAGCCATAGATTATTCGTAAATACGCGAAAACTTATTGATTGGAAGGACTGTGGCTTGATTTTGCTAAACCCCGAAGTTATATTATATATAAGCCAAGTTAATGCCGGTCGAATTATTCGTTAGAGGAGCTGTTGTCTCGTTTATAATATAAGGTTTAAGTGCTTTCTTATTAGTTTTGATGCGATTCGTGGTACAGGTAAAGATAGCTTACCTACCGATGATATTATAATATAATGTTATATTATTATTATTATTATTATTCTATTACTCTAATGATGTTCGGAACATAATATATTATATTATTATCTAAATATTGCGATGGTCGGGTTGTACTAGTTGGGACAGTTTTCGAGCGTAATGATAATTTGGTCACGCCACGCGATACAGTTTTTTTTTCTTCATAATTTATTAACGTGTAAAATTGCAACTCGTTTATCGACTCGAGCACGCGTGCAATTGACAATATTAATTCGTTATAATAATATCTGTCGGTCGTTGTCGGGCATAGCACCATCATGATACGACGTGTCGCTACAACAAGTTCAACTTGGTCGTTAATAGTAA